CTTTACTAATCATTGACCGACTTTTTCGTTGTTTTTTTTTTCTAAATCAATTCTGTATAGAGAACTTGCCAGTTCGTACTGCTCTGGAGTGCAAATTTTATCATCAATGAAACGTTGTTTTGTGGAAGATGTAGCTCCACAGCAGTTAAACAAGTCCTGGATTGGTTTTAGATTTTTACGCAGCTCTGGAGTGCTCGCTGACGTCTCCATAACCTGAAATTTGCCATAATCTGCAAACTCTATAGCTAATCAAATTTAGCAACATACCTTTTGAACTGCTTCAACGAACTTATCCCTGTTAGACATGGCAAAAATGGTCGCGCCAAGTTCAATAGCGGTGAGAATTAGCACGATAAAGAAGAACTGAATTAAAAATTTGATAGAAATCATATCTAGAATTATCTTAAAGTAAAAAAAAATATGCGAAGTTCCTACCAGTCCTAGGAGAATTGGACTTTCGCAAGCTGCACCGCAGCATCCAAGGAATCCAACAAAGAACAGCAACGCACCAACACCTACCAAAATCCATAGCGACGCTTGATACTAAATAACTCATTCAAAACTCTTTGAAGATTCCTTTGAGTTATATTCAATACTACAGAAGCCATTATAAGATCAATTAGCTATGAAAATTAGATAAAAATGGTCTGATAAGTCCCCAAGAATAACTTAGATCATTGGTAGTATGCAACAGAATTCAAGATCTTGACTGCAATTCATTAACCCCTTCACTACGCATGCTATATGAGTGCCTGTGGCCCGCTAAGCTCTCATTTAGCAGTACACATCTCAAATGTCACCAGCACGATGCTAAATATGTCTATTAAGTCGGCTAATAAGCTCCATCTAAAATCGCAAGGATGAAGCAAATATTTTCGAATGATTCAGCAAAATTACCTTAGAAATCTCATCGATATGTGTATGATCAGCACCGTCTACCTTACGTACGAAATCAGCAATATGTGAGCCAAAATTCTTGTCAAGATTTGCCCATAGGGAAAAGCCAAATATGAGGGCACCAAAGACGCAGATGAGAAGATTTACGACGAAGAATAAGAACTTCACACAGGAGTTTGCACAACCGTATACCATTCTCCTGCAATGATCGATTTAACGCCAACATAATGCGCCATAAGCGATGTCAAGACGTATTAACAGAAAATAGCTTGATTTTGAAAGATCACCACTTCATGCGCTTGAAAAGCATATTTTAAGGCTATTTTTGCCAGAAAGAATTGAATGTCGTCAGTAAAATGTGACGCAATTCTGAAAATTTAAACGGAGGAGTGGTCTTAAAGACATTTATACCATTAATAAAATCTATAAAAAATTTTATAATCGTTTTGATTACCGATTACCCTTAAAATAGATTTATTTCGATGAAAAAGGCAATTAAAAAGACAAATGGAAAAGGTTAACGAAAACGCATTATATATATTTGGCAGAAGAGCTCCTAAACTACACGAGCATTCTGCAAAGATTTCGTAGAAAAAGATTTGGATATAAACAGCGGAAAATT